TTGATGGATTAGAGTATTACACGAGACCACCTAAGTGGCTTACCCAAAATTTTCCTTTTTGAAACAACTTGTAAAGCATCATTCAAATTATATAATCGATTAAAACCATATGTAGAAACATAAGTATTTAAGTTTGCAAATGTAGGGAGTTCCCAATACATCCTAAAATAATACATATCAAGTATTTGAAAAATAGAGTTATGATTTGATTACATGAAGGTCTATGAATAGTACATGCATTTTAAAAAGACCCAAGACGTACTCTGATGCCTTGAAAAATCTAGAATCACAAACTTGCTATAAGTTCCTCGATGGATCTCCTAAAAAACTATGCACAAAAATAATTTTTGAACAATGTGTTAAAAGGCTTAATGCCACACTAATAATTATATTATACTACATATATTTAGTACTTGAACATGCTAGTAGGCAGAGGCGTGAACATACATGAACACTAACTTACAAAGTTGAGGTAGGCATCATGGTGCAATAAGAGGATCTGCATATAAGGACACATACCTCTCTAGCCTACCTATGATTGGGTATTTGGGTGAGATATGGAACTATATAAAAAATATACACTTGGTCATCTTACTTCACAAGAGAACTTAGGGCATCTGCGCCCAACCAACAGCTGAAGTGCCTTGACACTAGCTGAGATATATCCAGATATTCTAATCACACAAGACAATCATCATACTACTAGAGTAACTCAAGTGTCCTTGCTATTTCCTGAATGTCACACAATGGATAATTTTATGTTATCTTAGTTTATATCATTTCTAGTTGTAATTGTATTAATTAGTTATTATTGCTTGAAAGTTCATTTAAAAAGTTATGGTGATTTTAGACCAATATTTGAAGTATATGTATGTATGTATTAGGGTATTGATTCAATCCTAGGTATCGATACCATCCTAGGTATCGATACCATCCTAGGTATCGATACCATCCTAGGTATCGATACCAAATTCAAGTTAGATAATTTAGAAAATTAAAATCAGTATTGATACGCTTATATTTGGTATCAGTACTTTCACTTTACATAGTATTGATACTCCCTGAATATCAGCACCAAAACTGGTTACTAGAATATGAAACTTAAATATGGTAGTGATACTTTATTTTTTGGTATCGATACCTTATGAACAGGCTATCGATACGACCAGCCAAAAACCCATTTTTTATTCAAATAATAGTATTTTTACTATTCATATAGTACATTTACTCAAGCATAAAAATACTCTATTTTTTCTCGAGAATGACACCCAACTTTACTCATTTGCCTCTCTAAGGCCCTTAAACATTATTGAAGTCTTATGTAGGAATAAATGGGTCATAAAAGGTAATTTTCATATTTTATATCATAAACTGAAGTCTACCATGAATGAACTTACATGTTTCATGAACTCATGCAAACCAACCAAAAACATCTAGTGATTTACAAGTGGTGTAGATAGGTATAACAATGGGTCAGGTTTTTGGTCAATCCGACCTGACCCGAAAATATGTATCCTCCGCCTAAACTTGACCTGACCCAAAATTATATATATATCATCCGACCCGACCTGACCCGACCAGAAAAATACTTGACTAACCTGACCCAAATTTTTAAAGTATAAATCCAACTCAACATGACCCGAATAGGTATAAAATAAGGACTTAATTAAATAATAATATTTTTTAAATAAATTACATTATTATCCCCATGTCAGGTCGGATCAAAGTTTTTTCACCCTCCAACTGAATTATACCCGACTTGATCTCACCCTCTTAAAAAATCTGACCTGACCTGACCTGACTCGAACCTGATTTAAAAAATATGACCCTATTAGATCAAGTCGAGTCAGATCTCGACAGTTTCGAGTTAAATTGTCATCCCTAGGTATAGATGAGTTAGAAGTGTGTTACCTTGATTCCTAAGCTGCTGAAAATACTCAAGGCTCAACCAAGTGTTGGTTTCTCATTTCCCTCACTTTTGGAGCTTTCTCTAATTTCTCTCACTAAAGAAGGATCAAATACATGAGTTACTAACTTACTTGGGAACTAAGAAGATGTTAAGAAGGCTTCTTAAAGATCAAATCCCCCAAAAATAAGCTAGTTCTTCAAGGTTTCTAAAATCTACCTAGGGCCACCATTGCCAAAACTTGCTATTAATGGCTTGAATGAAAGCTCTAGACGAGGATATTATGATTCTTACCTTTAGAATCTCATATTAATCTTTCAAGGAAATCAAGCTCTCATATTAGATAAATTTTCAATAGGAAGAATAAGAGAGAAGGAAGTTATTTAGAGACAAAGAAGTGAAGAAAATGAGAAGGGATGGAGTAGTTTTTAACTCATTTCTCTAGATGTGACATCACCGTAAATTAAATGGATTCAGTCTTTCAAAAACTAAATGATATAATCACTCCCTTGGTCCCTCAAGCTTGGGTTTCATCTTAAAATTACTCTTTTTATCTCCATTTGGCCTAAACCAATCCTAATCCAACTCAACCTAGGGCTAAGACTCTGTACAAGGCTAATAGATTTACCCAAAACCCTCTTGAGTTAGCTCGAAACTAATAACACGTGATTTGGGGCGTTATAAGATGTCATAAACTATTTCGGTAACATCCTCAATTTGTTATAGTCGTGAATCAAATCAACGATGTTACATTTACCATTTAAAGCATCATCGATGACCTTATTAGTCCTAATTGGTTTACGAGAAGAATCAGTCCATATTATGATGTACAAACTAATCTAAACAATTTTAACATTTGAGGTCAAAATCATAAATCACACACTATTATCACAAATTAAGAGATTATATCAAAAAATTGACTTAATTGAAGGGTACAAGAATAATTTAGTTAATTCAGGTGGTTGATATCAATACCAATCTAATGGGTATCAAATTTAGGGAATATTTTAAACTACTAAATTAAATCCATCTACTTAATCAAATAAAAAATATGTTAAATAACATTAGATCTCAAAACCAAATCTTTATTTATCCTATATATTTTTATGTTTTTTATAATTAATTAGATAAAAATTAAATATCAAATTCAATAAAAAAAATTTTATGAATTCTTGAATTAATTTATTTCTCAATTATGAAAATGTTTTGATTGGTTGGATTGCTTCCAAATTAAGTATGATTTTGAAATAAAATAAAGTTTATGTACTAAAATAAAATAAAAATAAAAATTTAGATATTAAACATGTAGTTTATCCAAATATTAATATATTGACATGGACGCCTGATTTAATACTTGAAGGGGAAAAAAAAGAAGTCGCATTGCCTTGTTTCAGTATATGCCACGTTAGAACAACTCAATACGATTATATAATGCAAAATTCAATTATTCTATATTTCAGACCCTTCAAACAAAATCATTTCAACTTTTGATTTTTTTAATTATTAATAATATATTATGAACATAATTACTTAAATTTACAATCTTTAAAAAATAATATTCTCTTTATTTATTAAATTCATTTAATAAATTTAGTGTAATTTATGTTTTGAGTGTTTTTAAAGTTGAATATTGAGCAAATAAAAACAAACGGGAAGTTTATGATATCACACAGATCATGCTCTTTGGCCGGTTTACGTCTGCAAAGTGGCGTCTCGAAATTGTATATTTTCTGATTTTGATTTGCATTTTCTCAAAAAAAAAATGATTGAAACAATCGGACGGCGGAGGTTTGCACACGTCACGTGTGTGTGGTGTTGGCAGATTATGACAAGAAAATGCCAGATGAGTTTTTCATTTCCTTCCCCCGCTCTGTGTTTCATACGTGGCATCATCGGATAAAACAACAAAACCCATCACGTGTTTCTTAGTTATTTTAAGTCCCCATAATAAATAAATGAACGGATAAGCCTGCCCTTTCAGACACCTCAAGGGTCGAATTCTTTTCCGTGGTTGATCTTCATCAATCCACTCATCTCCATCGTACACCTGTCCAACTTCAACTTGGCTTTGATTGCTTCTTTCTGTCAAACCTGTGACCATTTAACTTTTTAATTTCCTACAATACACAATAATGTGTGAATGATAAGCAAACAAATGGTGAAGCAATTAAAAGCTAACGTCATCATTTTTATTCATCAACAAATATATATTTTGGTATTTGAATATTAAATTAAATCTCAACGTTAATTCTATATACAATATTAATTAAATTTAAACGTTAAAATATATATTATTTATTGCTTTTCAACTTTATATTTTGTATTAAATTTTAAATATTTTTTACATGTGATGATATGAGTGGTGGGTCCAAATATGAAGTAAATATGCCCACCTTGGTTAAAAGTGGGCCAATTTTTATCCACGGTAAACACTAAAGAAATCATACGGAGCGATTTCCGTGATATGCTTGCATGGAATATGGTTTTCTGGATTAAATTTATTTTTAGTCCCTAACTTTGCTACTTTTTTTAATTTAACTTATAATTCTTTTTAGTCCATTTCAGTTCTTAAATTTGATGAAACAGTTTTATTTTTAATGTTGTGACCTCTAAAATTATTTTTTATATAATTATTGATATCTAATGAATTAACCGATTAATTCAGATTAAATATTGTAAAGTTGAGAATAATCATTTAGTAGAAATCAATTGGTTGGGTGAGTTACCTCTAATATAATGTCGTAAAACACTTAAATACACATTAGGGGGGGGGGAACAAGAGACTAGGCTAATACGGAGAAAAACGTTTTAGAATTAAATTTTAAAAGATATACATCAAGTTGAATAGTTAAAAGGTATTTTTATTTTTTAAAAGAAAAATATAATTAATAAATTATTTTTTATAATAGAAAAAATAATATTTTGGAGACAGGGAAAAAACCCCCTCCAAATAATAATTAAACTTATGCAATTCTGGCCATCTTTATTTTATTGTAAAATTTTGTGTAATATTGAAGAAAGATGAGTTGAAGCAAGACAAAAAGGCTGAAGTGCACGATATAAAGTTCCAAGAAATTTGAAAGGCTTTTGTAATTCAATCTCAAAGTCAATCCATTTCCATCCAAAACCAACCCTCTTCTCCATTAATTCTTTTGTTTCTGCTCTCTTTGATTAATGGAGTCGGATTCAAACAATTTGGGAAAACCAGAAACTCCCAGTAATTCGGAGGCTGAAGCTCATGAAGGAGGAGGAGAAGAAGAAGAAGAAGAAGAAAGGGACCCTGAAAGCAATTCATTACGTCAGCCACTTCTCAAAAGAAACAGAACCCTTTCTTCCACTCCACTAGCCTTGGTTGGAGCCAAGGTCTCCCATATAGAGAGTTTGGATTACGAGTAATAATTCTACTCATGACTCCTTGTCGTTTTTCATATTTGCTCATTGTTTCTGATAACATGTATTGAAATAATCTGATGCAGGATAAATGAAAATGATATTTTCAAGCATGATTGGAGAAGCAGGTCCAAGGTTCAAGTTTTGCAGTACGTTTTCTTGAAATGGTCATTGGCTTTCCTAGTTGGATTGTTAACAGGATTAATTGCTACACTTATCAATCTTGCAATCGAGAACATTGCTGGCTACAAGCTTCTTGCTATTGTTGGTTTCATCGAGGAGGGAAGGTAAGCAAGTTCTGATCATTGTTTTAGTTCTTTCATGACCATACACTACCTTTAGATTTTTATCCAACATGATCTGAATTTGATGCAGGTATATATCCGGGTTGATCTTTTTCACCGGGATCAATTTTTTTCTCACCTTGGTTGCTGCAGTTCTCTGTGTGTGTTTTGCCCCAACCGCAGCCGGTCCTGGTATTCCTGAAATCAAGGCTTATCTCAATGGAGTTGATACTCCTAACATGTTTGGTGCCACAACATTGCTTGTCAAGGTTGGTTAGTTTTATGTTTAGAAATCACTGCTGAAAGCTCTATTAATGGTTCGAATTCATGTAGTTACAAGATTTCGAAACTGACTTGATTGGTCTCTGAAATTGAATCTCTGATCTCATATCACTGCTGATAATCAGAGATTGATCAGATCTGGTATTTCAAGAGTTTGATCAGTTGTAGGGTTGCCAATGGATCATTATCTATATTTAGATCTAGTATGAGATAGTTTTCACATTATTTTGTTTCTTAGCTAGTGCGCTGATAAATTTTATAATGGTAGATTGTTGGCAGCATTGGAGCAGTTTCTGCCGGTCTAGATCTGGGGAAAGAAGGGCCTTTAGTGCATATTGGGAGTTGCATTGCTTCATTACTTGCACAAGGAGGGCCTGATAATCACCGTATCAAGTGGCGTTGGCTTCGCTACTTCAACAATGATCGGGATCGCAGAGATATTATCACCTGTGGTTCATCCTCAGGTGTTTGTGCAGCTTTCCGTGCCCCAGTGGGAGGTGTCCTATTCGCTCTTGAAGAAGTTGCAACATGGTGGAGGAGTGCCCTTCTCTGGAGAACTTTCTTTAGCACAGCAGTTGTGGTGGTGGTTCTAAGGGAGTTCATCGAAATCTGCAATTCCGGGAGATGTGGCCTTTTCGGATCAGGAGGGTTGATCATGTTCGATGTTAGCGATGTTAAATTCAGCTACCAAGCCATGGATGTAATCCCAGTTATCATTATTGGAATCATTGGTGGACTTTTGGGAAGCCTATATAATCATGTTCTCCATAAGGTCCTCAGACTCTACAATCTCATTAACCAGTAAGCTACTTAATCGATCTTTCTCTTCAATTATGCTACATTGAATTATTTTCAACATATTGTAAACTTTTGATAAACCGTTCAATTAGCAATATTAGTTTGGTTCGATTGCTTGATTCATAACCAATGTTTTTAATCTGTCACAGTAAGGGGAAAATGCATAAACTACTTCTAGCTCTTGCAGTCTCTATTTTCACCTCAGTGTGCCAATATTGTCTTCCGTTTCTAGCCCAATGCAGAGCTTGTGATCCATCTTTTACGGAGACTTGTCCTACAAATGATCGGTCCGGGAATTTCAAACGGTTTAACTGTCCTGACGGCTACTATAATGATTTAGCTACCCTCCTCCTTACCACTAATGATGATGCTGTTCGAAACATTTTCTCAACCAACACTTCATCTGAATTCCATGTTTCCTCCATTTTAATCTTTTTTGGACTTTATTGCATCTTAGGACTCGTTACTTTTGGCATTGCTGTTCCTTCTGGACTCTTCCTCCCTATCATCCTCATGGGCTCAGGTTATGGTCGGCTTCTCGGTATCGCCATGCAATCATATACAAACTTAGACCAGGGGCTTTATGCTGTTCTTGGTGCCGCCTCTCTTATGGCCGGCTCAATGAGGATGACCGTGTCACTTTGTGTCATATTCCTTGAACTCACAAACAACCTTCTTCTGCTGCCAATAACAATGATGGTCCTTTTGATTGCGAAAACTGTTGGGGACTGCTTCAACCCCAGTATCTATGAGATTATATTAGAACTTAAAGGCCTCCCTTTCCTGGATGCAAATCCTGAACCCTGGATGAGAAATCTCACAGTTGGTGAGCTTGCTGATGTCAAGCCACCAGTAGTCACTCTTTGTGGGGTGGAAAAGGTTTCACGTATCGTGGACGTATTGAAGAACACTACACATCATGCATTCCCCATTGTAGACCAGGGCGTGGTAGTGCCAGGCACCATAGCTGCCAGTGCAACCGAACTGCACGGACTGATCCTAAGAGCTCACCTTGTTCAAGCCCTGAAGAAGAAATGGTTCCTGCCAGAGAAAAGAAGAACCGAGGAATGGGAAGTGAGGGAGAAATTCAACTGGGTGGAGCTTGCTGAAAGGGAACTCAAGATTGAGCAGGTGGCGGTGACCCGCAAGGAAATGGAAATGTATATTGATTTACATCCTCTCACCAATACAACCCCTTACACTGTGGTGGAAAGCATGTCAGTGGCTAAAGCCATGGTTCTATTCAGGCAAGTCGGGCTCCGGCATCTACTCATTGTGCCGAAGTATCAAGGGGCGGGGGTGAGTTTACCAACCATAAACACTTGTCTTCTTTTTCATGCCCTATATTTCTACCATTTTATACACCTTACAATGTTGTTTCCTGATAATTTGATCCACTTGCAGGTGGCTCCTGTTGTTGGGATCTTGACCAGGCAGGATTTACGGGCTTACAACATTTTGGCTGCCTTTCCTCATCTAGCAAGACCCAAGCTTTCTTAACAGAAAATAAGTCTAATATTTGAACCACACATCTTTTGGTTCATCTTTCTAAGTTTAACTCTTCCACGGTTTCAGTCAGTTTTGCAGGGTCCTCCCCCAACCCACGTATTGTTAGATCAAATAGAACAGATTCAACAGCCATGTAAAAGCCTGTTAAGTTGCACCAATTCATTTTCATATAGTTCGGAGTCCATGAGTGAACGCATTTCCATTTATTCAGAACAGAACAATGAGTGATAGAGATTATTTTTTTTCTTCCGAGTTGAAGCTGTTTGTTGGTTTTCAAACTTTTCATCCTACCATTTACTTACAGTAGAAATTGAAAGAGTTCTAAAAACTATATGCAAAATCCATGCCACTTTGCTCCTAAAGCTGTTTTTTCTTCTTTTCTTTAGGGTTCCTTTTGAACAAAGCTAAAACATAAATGATGAAAGAAATATCCCAAAATGACTTCCCATGGACAAATCAACGAAAGATGAAGGCAGGGTTAAATTTGCAAATCATGAAACAGAAAAATAAATGCTCATTATTTTCACTTTTATTACGCAATCAAACACAAACTTTGAAGGATCATTTCCAGTTGCTTTAATATATATATATATATTACAAGGTCTTTTACAAAAGTTCTGATTGATTCTTTTGCATTTTTATTACAGAACACCATGTTCAAAGAAAAATTAACATCATCAAGTTGACTGAGATGGTACAATCCCGGGCTGCTTTTTCATTGACTTGAATCCCAAAGTCCCATATGCGTGTAACCGTGACCCCTACTCTTTGTTAAATCTGACAAAAAAGTTGAAGGTGTCTCGAGCAAATGATCTCTGGAAACCGAGATTCGGGCTTCTTCAATCTACTAGCCGGAAAGCAGAGGGAAATTGACGTTTATTGTTAACAGCTACGGCATGGCCATCTTCTTCTTCCTTTCACTAAAACTATTGCATGAAACCAATCTTGGAAGGCAACGTTGCACAGACCTCAATGGCTTCTCTTTAAAGATAGGGTTGTCTCCATTTGCAGTCCTTTCACTACTGCACTGAGTGTTAGCTCCGGAGACATAAGGGGTACCCTCTGCGGATTTCGGAGGTAGTATGTCTTGAATCGTTTTTTTGACTTTCTTTTCACTGGAAATGCCTTGGTTGTTTGAGGTATTTAGCTCATTAATATCATGGTCAACTCTAAAGCTCTCTTGAAAAAGTTCAACCAACTTCTTTTTATTTCCTGTTGGGGGTGTTTCGGAAACTGACCCAGGATATCCATCCTCAGTCGCACCATTAACTTGAGATGTCTCCATAGAGAAGCTCTGATGAACAGGGGTATTACCATGAGGAGTAAAATCTGCACAGAAGCATATAATATTTCCATGGGATAATTACAGGCAAAAACTTCAATACTAAAAAATGATTGGCAAAACAGAAAAGAAAAGAAAAGAAAAACGACAATGAAGTTAGCAAGACTACATAGATGCTTTACACCTAAAAACATCCAAAGCAACATGATGACAAATTATCATAGAAAACCAAATTTATATCATGAGAGTTTAACATATATTGTTATTGAATAAGCTAGTTAGACAAATCAATTCAAAAAGTTCTTATATACTCACCCCCGTTGACACTGATGAAATCGTCCTCACAATCTGAATCCAGATATGCTCGGGAATCAAAAAATGTTTCATCTTTACTACCTGCAAAGCAACAAAAATCATTTCAGTTCAAGGTATTCAGATTGCTATGGATGAGGAAGTTGACGTAAGATCTGAACTAGACCAACATAACAGTAAAGATCAATCTGTTGATTTCGGAAACAATCGCAAAGTCCTAAACATCTAACATCTAGAGAGAAGTCAAGTCAACACAAAATGTCATAGAAACTGCTGCATCCAAGACCTAAGTATCAATTTGATATTAAAACGCATACCACAAAAAAATTGGTTCATTTCTACACCAGACGCCCACAGAAAAAAGACTTCACTTCGCAGTTGACAAGGATGTACTCGTCTCTTGATATTCTATAGACATAACATCAGTACTAGCAATCCTGTGACTCGTAGCCAAGTTGTACAGAACATAAATTCTATACTTGGTAAGGACCACAATATACTCAACAGTGTGCCATTCTTGAGTTTCTATATCTATCTTCATACCAAATTGTTTACACCAATGCCAATTAGGAAAACCTCGCTTGAAACTGTTTGCTCTTTCGTAAAATGTACGAGTGGTCCATGCATCGACACACTTTTCATTGAAGGCTGATGAATTTACGAATGGGATGTACCACTCTAAAAACAGAAGCAAAAAATTGGTCCCCACTAATGTAATAACCTTAAAAAATCAGACATGGTCTCAAAACATCCGCTAGGATAAATATAGGAAGAAGATTGCTAATTGCCAACATGTCGTTTTGTTTTAAGCAATGGCATTTCAATCCGTCTGAATGATATAATCCATCCCAAAGTTAACTTAGACTTCCATACTGCTAGATATAGGGAAAATTGGTTTTATTTCATCCCATATTAAATTTCTCAATTAACATTTTTTTGTGAAAACTAAGAACCGAATTACTTTTCTTGCAAGACAAGGGGAAAACCAAAAGAATAGAATCTTCTCTGTTACAAATCTCATATCAATTGGAAGATATAACAATTACACAGTGTTTTGTTAATCCAAAATAAGTTAATTAGTAAACAAAATAAAATTACTACCATGGAGGGGAAAAGAGAAGTCAAAGGAAGACACTGATGAAAATGGTGAAAATTTAAGCCAAGGTGGAAGAGCTTGCAGTGAAACAATGGTGAAAATGGTCTTAAATGTCACCAAGCCATACTGTATTGTACTATGAAACAATAACAAGACCCTAAAAATAAAAGAAAACCAGAAAAGCAAAAAGCCACCATGTTTGAGATACAATCAACAAAGCCAAAACCAGTTGCATTGGGCATATCATTCATGGCACAGATTGAAACATAATAATAAACATCAATACTTGGCAGAATAATTTATCATCAAGCCAAAAAAAACATTTTCCTACTAAAAAAATACATAAACTACTTGATATCAAGATAAACATGTTGAAACAACTTTGACATGCCACATAGCCATTTTAGATCTCCCATTGTCAAAATCGAACACTGTCACTAAATAGAAACAAAGGCAAAGCAGGACAAACAAAAATTTGTACTCAATTTAAAATAAAGTAAGACAAGAAAAAAAATAGCCTTTACCTTATAACTAAGCAAACTAATTCCAAAAAGAAATGAATTACCTAAATCTTTAAAAGTAGACGGAGATTGAGATTTGAGAGTTAAGTCTTTAACAGGTGAAGGTGAGGTGATGAGGGTATCTGTTTTAGACTCGAAAGAAAGCCCAAGTTTCATGGCAGATTCTTGAGAGCTCTTATGCACTGAAACACATGAACCCATCTCTCTCTCCTTTTTATTATCTCTCCAACTCTTTAGAACCACAACATCCCACTCAAAGAATAAAAGAAGAAACTTTATTTTGTTCTGTCAATGGATTCTGCACCCCAAAAAGAAAATGAAAAGAAATGGAAAATGTCTCAGTGCTTAGCCTTGATTTGAAAGAGCAATTAAAAAAATCCACAGAAAAAAGAAGGCATGTGGTGGATTATGGGGAATCCACAAAAGTTGGTAAAGGCTATAGTGGCAAAAGATTTTTGACAATCAAAATCAATAAGCAGTAACACAATTGTAATCAAAAGTATATCAGTTTTGTCCGTATGCCAACGCCGACATCTCCCATTTGAGCTTCACATTCACAAATATTATTATACCTTTTTGGAATAATATTTAATCAACAAAGGTTTGGCTCATGCATCATGGAGGGATGATCGGCTGTTTTTTTGTTTCTTTTAGCCTAATTTTTCTATATCAGACCATGTGGTACTTATATGAATGATTCACTCAGATTGTTTGATTTGTGGTTTAAATAAATCCCACTTTCAAATCACTACATAATATATATATATATATATATATATATATATATATATATATATATATATATATATATATATATATATATATATATATGCTAATTTGGTTATTCAAAGAAGTAGGAATCTGTTACAATATTACAAAGCATACAAGAGCAATACAAGAGCCTTACAATCACTCTCAGTTAATTTTCTACTTACCAAAGTAACACCTAAGTATCTTACAGGTAACTTTTCCACTTTAAATCCCCTATAATCTTGAATCTCAACCAAAACAACACTGTCCACGTTACATGCAAATATTTCACGTTTACTCAAACTAAGCTTCAATCTGGAATACATGTAAAATTGATTTGAAATGCACCAGACTTGTACAAACAAGTCAATGGTTTCTGTCATAAAAACTAACAGATCACCTGTAAAACACAGACGAGAAAGCTGTACCCTATAACACTTAAGATGAAAACTGAATATACTCTTAACATCTATTGCATCAACAAGTTGTTACAATCGGAGAAGAAGGGAGACTCGAAGAAAAGAAATTGGGAACGGATGAGAAAGGGTTAGGGATTGCAAAGGAATCCCGAATCCATTGGGAAATTGGGGATGGAAAATCAAATAAGGCTGCACGTGAGGAACAGGTGACAATTAAAACAAATGACCCAGTGAAGCAGCCCATTACATGTTTGGTGGAAGAGGAGATCTAAGCTTGCCAAGGACCAGCCCAACAAGATTGAAGATACATGCATATCAAAACGTTAGAAGCTCTTATGTCAAGGACGACAGCTGGCAATTAGTTAGATTCAGTACCTGTAAAGAAATAAAATCATGTGCTGCTGATGCATTTCTTTTGTGATTTCACTAATGACGAATTCCTATTTCTGTAACCTCCATTCTTCCTTCTTTTCGCTCGTCTAAAATTCTCAAAACTCTCTTAGTTCATAACAATTTGGCATCACAGCCTAAAATCCTGGTAGTTGGAAGACCGGTATCACAAAGAAAAATCAAAATATGGGAGATTCAACGGACCTTTCTGCGATGCAGAAGCAGATTGAGGAGTTAACGAAACTAGTGAAGCAGACTACGAATGAAACCATACCCTCCAAATGGTGGGAAGACAAAAATAGACGTATCACCAGCTTGGAGTCCAGGATGGCCACTAATGAAGGCTGTGTGGAACAAATCCTAGACTCCTAACCGGGAGGACGGAAGAACAACAACAAACAGGATATGAGAACGAGCAAGTAAACACTTCCAATCCTATTGAAGTTGATGGAAAAAGACCTACAGTGGTAACTGTGATTAACGAGAAATCCCGATTTTCCTATAAACCTGATGAACCTGAGGTCTGTTAAAATATGTCCAAAGACCAATCATATGATGATTGTATGAACACATTTTATTTACCGATTTTATTGAATAAAAGTATTGCCAGTATTATTTTCAGTTATATATATGTGTCTAACATAAACTAAAAGATAATAAAGTCCATATAATAATATGATTATTATTAAATATCCTTAGTTGAATATTATTATGAGTATGAACAATAATAATATGTTTAAGACTAACGTGTTATTGATTGATGACAATGAATTGTCATTGACATAGAGATGTCAGAATCGATGCATGAATATGTTGTTAGTGAAAGACATATTGGATTGACCAACTATAATGTCTTGGATTATTGTGTGACGGTCACAACATTACTCATGGTGATGACTATATGTATGATCCTCAAACTTGAGATCATTATTATCTCAACATATATTGTTATATGTTTTGATGTAGTTAAACATGCTCCGTAACTGGTTGCACTATAAAGACTGATATTAAACATATCTCGATATATGTAGTGAGATGTGAATGATTAAGATATGATTTGTTCTTCCTACATAATAGGAAATGTATCACATGCCAATTGATTGAGTGAGACTAGAAATACATGGTCATGCTCGAATAAGTTGATATGAGATATCACAAATTATTTGTTAATTATAGTATACTCAATATATCAAGAAATAATAGATGGGTTATACAAGTGTGACTATTCCAAGACTTGTGCTTATTCTGGATATAAAAGACAAAAGAATGTAATACATAAAAGAGTTAGTCACGAAGATGATATGTCGAATCATGATTTCTTGTAACTTGATATATTGCTAGATGTCATTCATTGTTTGTAATATTAGAATGTTTCTAATAATTACTATTAATGTTACAAGAACCTATAGGGTCACATCCTAAGTTTAAATGTGCAAATATTAAATGGATTTTATTGTACAATACAATATAATTAGAGTTAATATATGTATATTTGGTATACATATAAATTAATTGCCCCGAATAAAATAAGTGGACAATAAAAGAATGTAATTCTGATTACAACTATTTTAATGAATATTTAATTCAAAATAATTAAATAAAATTTTATTTCATAATAATTAAATAAGATTTTAATTAATTCGGAATAAAAAACCCTAAAGGTTAGGATAATTCGTGTATATAAAGATAAGCAAGGGTCTAGTAGTCGCTCTTGATCTTTTAGTTGATTTTCTCAAAATCATTTAGGAGAAAAGCAAAAATATTTACTCTCAATTAGGTAAACTAAGTAGAGGCTGAGATATTTTTGTGGAGTATTGCGATTCGAATCGTTCGTGATCACTATTACCGTTGCTACAATCTTGTTGTTTTTTAAGGAACCCAATGTAAGTAATCATATCCCTTTCCTCCCATTTTTGATTTTATCATACATGGATCACTGGTGAGACTGTCGAGTTTGTTTCCGTTACGCCATAAGGTACGCCGACGTCCCAACAGTGGTATCAGAGCCACTTGTACGATCCGAATTCATGTTAAAATTCTTGGTTGATGCGATATGTATAAGATGCATGATTATTTTATCTTGTTCGACGAGTTTATATGATATAATTGTTCGATTCGATAAAAGGAACAATTAATCTGTTTAATAAACTATACAATTAGTGGTTAAGAGTTAATCATGTATTTATTGTAACATGGGTTTATGATATTCATATGTTAATTATTGACATGGTAATCAGTGGGTACGTAATAGCAGATCACGTCTGGAAGAGGAGTAATAGTTGTTCTGATGCGAAAAAACCTTCGGGATTGAAAAATCTTAAAAACAAGATTTTGTTGATAAATGTTATCAAATCGAGAGGTTTTTCCATAGGCAACCGTTATGACCAACCTCCGCAAGGGTCCTCCCCTTGCCCGATTCGTAGGCAACATAAATTTTAGGCCCATATTGGTAATTTTAACAAATGTGTAACAACATGTATAAAAAAAAATTAGCTGACCCTATTCCCATATGTAATGGGGTGAAGGGGAGGTAAGGTAGTAGGCTGCCCCCAACAAGTATAAGATGCATGATTATTTTATCTTCTTCGACGAGTTTATATGATATAATTGTTTGATTCGATAAAAGGCACGATTAATATGTTTATATGTTTAATGAGCTTTACAATCAATGGTTAAGAGTTAATTATGTATTTATTTCTACACGGGCTTATGATATTCATATGTTAATTTTTGACATGGTGATCGGTGGATACGTGATAGTAGATCACTTTTGGTAGATGAGTAATAGTTGTTCTGATGCGAAAAAACCTTCGGGATTGAAAAATCCCAAAAACAAGATTCTGTTGATAAATGTTATAAATATTATATCAAATCATGATGTTTTTACATAGAAATAGTAAATGTTGTTTCTCAAAATTTTTGACCGCCGCAAGGGGCTCATCCCCTTGACCTCTTCGTAGGCAACATAGTAGGTCCATATTGATAATTTTAACGAATGTGTAACGCCATATATGATATGTTTGATTTACACGGTGTTTGACATGCATAGTTATATATGCAATGGTTATAATTTTATAAATACGGCCTGTGTGTCGTGCCTCTCTATAATTTAGTTGTATTTTTCTTCTCGCCTTACTCTCTCGTATGTAAAACGAGTTTCTGAAATTGTAATCATATGAAGATTCAAAGGAACAGAATAATGGATTGACCTGAAGGTGAGAAGATGCTTGAGAAGCAGTCTTAGGTTTTAGGTTTCTTGGTTCTCCCATTGGCTTGGGATAAGCCACCTTGGTTGTCTTTATTTTGGGCTATAACCATTGCAACTTATTTACTATTTATATTTATCTTGTATACGATGCAAAGTATGATATGCTAGCATGCTAATATAAGAATGAACCTTGATGAAAGCAATAAGGGCCTAATATTAAAACGAACAATGATGAGATAATTACGCAAATCCCTCTAAATAATCTAAGTTAATTTTAACCGTCCAATATTTACCCTTGTTAAGGCTTCGACCGACATTATGTGGGTTTTGCCAAAGCAATGGAACATGATTCTATCCTAGTTAAAATATTGGTAATAACTTAATAGGATTAAAAACCTAGAGGTTAATAATTTGGATGAATCATGAGATGATTTGAACAACAGTTGTTCACCAAATGGAGGAGTTACATGGGATGTAATTAGTAATGTGTTCTTACCTAAACAAACATTCTCCTAAAGGAAAACCCAAAGTTGATTTAGGAAGAGGGTGAAATATGGATCCTCACTCACTATAAGAACTTTCGAGATGTTTTTCCGAAATTAAAACATGAGGGTCTTTAATTTTGAATAAAATAGTAGGAGTAATTTATTAATAA